TGCGCCGCTCGGATTTTGAGTTGAGTGGGGTCCGGTTGTAGTCGGATGCGCACATCTATATGTATATATACAGGATGTGCTATTGAGATGTTGTAATAGTACAATAAAGCATTACATTTGTATTTTTATGTATAAAAAATACTAACAAAAATATATGTATTTCAATGAACAAATTAATACTAAGAATACTAAACCCGCACGACTTGTGAATGTTGCGTTAGTGTTGATCGTTGGCGCCGTTAAACAGACAATCTTAACCCATGTAGAGAAATTTTGGTGGTATATTATTTTTACATTATATATACAATATATATATATATTATTTTTATTAAATATTATTTTTGAAAAAAATCTTGGAAGAATACGTGAACAGGGTGTCCGTTTCAGATGGCCCAATTCAATTTCTCTTAAACCAATGAAGCTGTCAAAAGAGTTATAACAAAAAGTTTGAAAAAAATGTCATTTGGTTTGCTCTTTATTAATCACTTTTCATGTTTTAAATGCCAGACTTGCGAAAACATGCAAAATTATGCTCTTTTTAACCACTCTTCACTGATGCTCAGAGCTATAGATTCAGGGGAAATGGATTGACAAGCATTTTCTATCCTTTGTCGTCGTTATTCAACTGAGTCGCTGGGTAATGATTGGCGTAGACACTGTTTTTTAAATGGTCCCACAGAAAATAGTCAAGTGGAGTTAAATCGAGTGGCCGAGGAGATCAACAGTTCGGGTCAAAAGGTCCTATCCGCCTATCCCGGAAATTACGATTCACCTGCAAAGAATTATGTGCGGGGATCAACAACAAGCTGGAGAAACTTATTTGTTGTTGTTGCAGAGGAACATCATCTAATAGTGTTGGTAAAACCTTTCACGAAAAATTGAGAAACTGAGCACACTTAAATTATTTTTGTAAAAAAAAGGCCAAATTAATTTATTTCCGCAAAATCTACTCAAAACGTTGATACTGTGAACCACCTGATGTTGACAAAAGTACAAAATTTTCACATTTTCCTCTGCCCACGTTTGAAAATTCCAACGGTTTAGTATGCCATTATAGATGAACTCAGTCCATAGGATGTATGGGAAGAACGTTTTCTTCAGCCTCCCAAATCGATAATTGTGTAAGGAACGTTAGACGCCTGTCATAATTAGAATCCCTATGTTCCCGGGCAAGATGAGAGCGATACTGCTTAAAATATAAATGTACAAGTTCAGATTACATCTCTAATTTTAGTTTTTGAAAAACCTAAAACCCTTCCAACATATGGAGAGAAGAATTCGGATTTTCGCGAACATACAGTAAAATATTCATCCCCTCGTCGAAATTACGCTGCCGGTATCTTGGAGATAGAGCAGCAATTGATCCGTAACTCCTCATATTGCGAACAAACGAATAAACGTTTTGTGCTTTACTCTGGGGCGATCAGGAAATTTCTGGGAGTAGAACTCGATGTCAAACTATCAATAAACTACCATGAATACCACCACATCAATAAAGAAGACATACATATAAACTCGTTGATTATCGGAAAAATCTGCTTTCGGTTCATTTTGAGTGGAACACTGAATGTAACGAATAGGTACTATTGTAAAATTTATTTACCTCTAGGAATTAAAATTTGATACATAATGACAGAATTAAAACAATAAAGGCAATTAATGTTTATTTCAGAGAAGAAGCACATTGTTGGAATTAACAACGAAACAAACGAAATGGTTTTTTTTTTACTTTTTGCCATAACTTTGCCATTTTTTGACCAATTTAAAAAACAATTTCACCATTGTTTTCGGAATCATATTTAAAATTTTCAAGTTAAGCTGGGCTTTAGGTACCCTGTATAATTTTCCTCCAAAAAAGGTAAAAATTTGAAACTAGACTAAAAACATGGAACAAGTATTTTTTAGAGTTAGTCTATAGTGTCATTGGTTCAAGAGAATTTCAGCCGAGCTATCTACAAAGGAATCCCTGTATTTATGTTTTAGTTAGTTGACAACTTGAGCTACAAACCAGATACTAGCATTTCAGGAAATCGATGTAGAATAAATATAAAAACAGGAGACAGTAACCAGATCGAGACGCTCAAATGACTTAATTTTAAAAAAGTGATATAAAATATAAAAAAGAAGGAAAACAGGCAGATGGCCGGCGGTGACCTCAGCTGTTTGTGAACCCATAAACCCCCATATCAAATATTGTTTTAATATTTTCCCAATACATAAAAAATTTGTTGCAATTTTTTGTTTTAAATTATTTCTTTATATTTACATCTGTTACCCTAGTTTAAAAAAGTAAATTTGGTGGTATAAATTATTATAAGTAATACAAATTTCATTTGAAAAACTTGTCGAGAGAAGCTACCCATTGCACATGCATGCACATCACTGAACTTAATCCCGAGGTTATTGCATCTTCAGCTGACATGGTGGATTTCCTTAGGACGAGTGGAAAGTTGTTAAACGAGAGGGTAGGATGTGAGGAAAGAGTCTTGCCGACAATTCCAACTTTGTACAATCTGTAATCCTTACACGATCCTCTTCATCACCATCGTCTTAGTATTTTACTGTTGTGATTGTGGTTGGTTGATCCTGATATTTAATCGATTCTTACATTGTGACATATGATGGGAATTTATATTCCTAATTATTATGCCTGTTTGTCACAGAAGGTCTTGAGGAAACATTGCACGCTTACGTCAAATATTGAGAAATTGTTTACTTCGTGAATCCATTCTTGCGCTAAATGCATGGAAAAGATCAAACAAGTTTGAATGGTTTACAAGAGTATCGGATTATACACTTGGCCGAATGTTCCACTCCATTACAGGATCTGTTATTCTCCTTGGCCCATCTTTGGAAATAACTTAAACAAAACCGATCCTTTCAATCTGGCAATTCCATTAGTATCATTATAACCAGCATGATTCGATACAGAAAAACCAAATCCTTGGGCAATAAAATTAGCATCTGTTGAGTTTGAGACCTTTCTACTATCGGTAAATAAACTTTTAATAAATGAGGAACATGGTAAATAATTAAAAGCTATTGTATCGAAGCTTCATAATCTCCCCTGGCCCCTAAATTGAAACGATGAAGGGATAAAATTTAACTGCAAACCTAATAATTCAATTAGCCACCTCATCCTCTAATCTGGATAAAATGAGCAAGCAATTATTTGATGGCGGAGAACTTCAGAGTTGTAAATTTCAGAGAATTGGTATCTCTCCAAAGGAATTAAAGCCATAATGTCGCAAATCTTATACTGAGCATTTGCTTAATTAAGCAATTGCGTGGTGTACTAGGTTAGTTACAACATAAAAATTATTCATGCAATAGAACGTGTAGTAAATATTAATTAATTTTCATACTGATCTTCTCATATAAATTATCATTTTAAATCAAAATTATGAGAACAAGTGAAGAAAACTAAGATATAAACAGCCAAACATTAGAAGACTAGCACATTTATAAGGAAAATCTAAATTAAAAGGACATATACCGTAAGGTAAGATAAAATTTTGTTATATAAATTAAAACAGTGACATTCCTTATTCAATGGACGTCTATTTTTGATGACAACACAATTACACAAGCCCATGTGATTGGCAAATATTTAATCCTTAAAGAACATAAAATATACACCGAAAGCATGCTAATTAATAAAAGAAAAGAGAAAGAAAAACAAACATAAACTAAGTAAAATAAATAAAGTGTACAGAAATCGCCTGCTCATAATATTGTGACAAGCTTACTGAATCTAAGAATTAGATACAAAAAACCTCTATCCATTGGTTCATCAGTAGATTGTTGAAAAAAAAAACACAAATATAAAATATAAACGTGCTGACGTAATTAAATAAAACTTTGTAAATCTAAACGTTAAAAAATGAAATACCCCATGTCTATTAATAAAAAGTTTAAAAGTAAAGACGTTATTTAGGGGCGTCGGTGGCCGCAACGGTTTAGGCGCTCATCACTGTAAGGTAAAGATCCCGGGATCGAATCCAGCGGCCCCGCATTCGAGCTCGACATACTTACAGATGGGCTTTTTTTCAAAAACACCACAAAAAAAAAGCGTTATTTTAAAAGCCGATGAAGGAATAGTGTAATTATCATTGAACATCAAAAATACGTTTCTGAAGTTTAAGAATTTCTAAATAATAACGATGTAATAATTTGTAAAGAAATATAAAAAAATCCCACCTTAAAATTAAAAACTCATGTTCAAACATCCATAAAAAATAGTGACTATTTATTCTTAAATGACCAATGTGCAGTTAAAAAACTAATACCAATGAACCTGAAACCCACAATGCTAGGCGATAAGGTCAAAAAGTGCAGCAAAAACAAACCTCTAAGACAAATAGTGGCCTTTTATAATTCTCCATGCCAAAAGCTCGCCATTACAATTGATAAAATAATTGAAACGCACTCCAATTTCAAACCAACTTTCGGTATTAACAATTCTTTAGAATTGATAAAATAATTAAAAAACATAAATGTACGTAACAACTGTGTTTTAGTGTCATTTGTTGTTACCAATTTATTCACAAATATCCCTATTAAAGAATGTACAAAACTTATAAAACAAAAACAACCGGAGAAATTTATTAACAAATTTGTAAAATATGTTATAATAGAACGCTTAAATATATTCCTACTATCCAAATATTGTAAATTTAATAATAAATTAACGATGTTTAATAAAAACAGTGTTATTATCTTTATCATTATATTTCATTCGTTTTTCCAAACACAAGCGATAACCTTATTATTAGCTTGTATGAAAAATTAAACAGCAAAATTTGTGCGGTAGTGATTAATATATTCCTAGACATTTTACATTTTTTTATTCTTTTTCACTATTAATTATAAATTCATCACCAAACATTAATTTATTATTAATTATTAAAACACTGCGCTTAATGGTTGTAACCTTCGAGATATTAATTACGTTTTGGATTCTACAACATTTATTTATTTATTTGCATTTTTGTTAACAGGCAAATCCTGATAACGACTTTAAGAGCATACCCGAGGGCCTTTGGTGGGCGATTGTCACTATGACCACTGTCGGATATGGTGACATGGTTCCAAAAACATACGTCGGCATGTTCGTCGGAGCTCTTTGCGCCCTAGCCGGCGTGCTGACGATAGCTCTTCCAGTGCCTGTCATCGTTTCGAATTTCTCCATGTTCTATTCGCACACGCAGGTAAATCCTCAAATTATTTTTAAACTTAGATCAGTTTTATAAAATCTCTTGGGATCACCCTGAAGGCACATCCTCCCAGCAGGCCATCTTCCAAACCTTTCACTCCTCCCGGTGACTTCTAAACAATCCTCACCTCCGATTTCAATGAATTTAAATCCCATATTACACCCTTCATCTCACTACTCACCGTCGAATCATCAAAACTTATCCCGACTCTCTCCCCAAAAATTCCGACTAACGATAATGATCTTATTTCAACCCTTCCCTGGAATGCTAACGGTGTCCTCCTCACAGTAACGAACTCACCGCAATATTATGCGAGCCAATATACATATAGCACTCATAACGAATATTAGACTGACAAAATGCAAACTTCTGTACGTATAATTAATTACCACTGACCAACCCGACATGAGGTTCCCGAGAACTCTTCGTCACAAGACAAGAGGATCTTTAACGTCCGCAGCTGGCCTATTCGGCCTTATTGGACGTTTTGATTCTCAAGATGAGAGCTGACGCACCTCCGCATACGACGGAATGGTGTTACCGCCGCATCATTGGTGTAGAGGCGCCCCAGCCCCTAAGGGCCAAGACAACCTCGCTCTCCGCTTGTCCACTCCGAATGGTCGGGCCCGCACTGTGCATCGGGTCGTATGCCGCACGCAAAGGGCTAACAAGCTGAAATACATCAGCCTGTTCTCCCGCGTACTCCCTAGATAGAAAAAGCGACTCTATCTCCCACAGTATTGGGGCTTCCCATAGCGTAGAAACTACCGGATCCGCCCCGGCCGCGGTTTTGTTTTAAGTGGAATTGCTAACCACCCCCTAGCACGACCTACGGTAAAACCTCCTGTCGAGCTCAACCTACTCCTGCCATGTGCATTCGAGGGACGCCGTAGGCTTAGCCTAGGTGGTCCGATCCTTCGCTCCCCCAAGGGTACACGCCGGTCATACGCACAACACGCAAAGCATACTCGACTCAGAGAAACCGATTCACTACCCGTTTCCATTCGCTTACTCACGCATTCGAAGGACTATTCAGCATAATCATCGCGTCCTCAACGCATATACGCTGTCGTCCAGTCAACCGTCTCCCGTGAGGCCGGGGGTAATAACGCTGGCCATACGCAAGCTTCACGAAGCACCAACCCGACATCAGCCAACGGAGCTATCCTTATTCCAAATACTTTACAAAATCACGTCATACCAACAGACACCACGGAGCTTTCACAAAGCACGGCTGTTAAGGATTGCTCTCAATCAGCAACAATACTAATCGCATATGTATACTGCCCACTCAACAAACAAACTCTCCCCAGCCCCAATTTTCAAGATGTTTTTTAAGTCATGAACATAAATTCCTGCCCAGTGGCAACTACAACGATCTAGAGTGACTCCCATGACCGCTCTCTATACAAAAAGTTGGATTCCCTTAACATATCCTCAATTTCTTCTTACACTCTCTCATATTGACCAGCAGATGTAAATCGTATTCCCAACCTTATAGTTTTCTTCTTGTAAAAAAAACCTGTTCCCCTCTCATTAACTACCCAATGCGACGTATCATATCATTAGTGATCCCGACGACCCCAACATGGCTTCACGAAGTTACGTGGTACTTCAAATCCCCCCTCCCATATCGCTCCCTCCCAAAGCAGTCACTCCTTCTGTAGTTAAATATATCCTTGCCCGGTTGCCGAATGTCTTGCCTAATTTTGACCTAATTATCCGCGAATTCCTTAAAAAAGTAATAATCTACCTTCTGTACGCATAAACAGGTCCTTTGCCTCCTTATATATTTACAACCTGCACAACACTTCCCTTTGCTCTAGAAATACTCATACATCACCTTTTTTTCTAAACCAAGTAAACTCGCCCGTAATGCATTTTCTTACCGTTCAATTAGCCAGCTCTAAAAATATATTTGATAAGATCCTCCTAAATTTAAAGCAAATTTAATAGCAATATGGATTATAAACTTGTAATTTAAGCTTTTGTTATTGTAATGTTTTGTTGTTAATTGTAGACTATGAAGTTCCACAACTCTGAAAAACTCAAAAACACGATATAAACTATTTTACATTTGTTAGCTTTGGGACTGATAGCTAACAGCTCAATCGCTTTCCATTAGTCCCCAATGGTACTAATTTTACAGAGCCTATAAAGCTTGTACAGGTATTAGAAAGATAAAATTTAAACTGTGATTTCAAATTCAAATTAGTTAGTTTTTATCTACTTTTCCGAGCCGATACAAGTATATTATTGTCGAATTTTTGCCAACGGATTCGACTACGTAAGATGAAAAAAGACAAACAACCCTTGCCCTCTGTAATTTATTCAAAGATGCAAAATGGATCGAAGAGGACCGAATGAAACAGTGACGGCACTTGTGATGTATTTTCTCGAAGAAAGGCTGATTATTTGATGCCTGCAGTTGACAGTTCATTTGAAAGCGGGAACGCGGACGCTGTGATTTTCCCCTGACGGAGGCTTAAAAGGCACTTCCTCGCACAAAGAAATCCTCGTTGGATCGAAAGATAACGTCTTAGTTAAAATAATACTTGGTCTCTTGAACTTTTGCTAGGGAGATTTAGGAAAATTCCGTCGACGATAAATTAAACCGGACTTCTTTCAAATGTTTTAACGTTTTAAAAGGCGTCTTAACCCAAGCTTTAAAAATAAAAAATAATACATTTTGTAATTTTACGTAGTTTATCATATATATTTACAATTCACTATGTCTTGAGGGAGACAATTATTGTTGTTTCCCAACTTTACATACGGGCTTGTCTTGGGCGAGGAGGTCCCGGAGCAATCTCCGCTTTACGCGTCTGACTGGATGATAGAGATGCATTAAGTTAGACATGAATTGGGAAATGGTTTGGGGAGAGTGGAGAGGTCATCGTGGAAATTTAATTAGGAGAGTAGAGGGTTGAGTTGGGATATCTAAGGATTAAAGGAGTTACTGTTTGGTCTGAGCACATTGTTCTGTAGCACTCCCGATCCCACAAGACAGTAGCCGGATTAGTCCGACCCTTGGCGAATTCGGAAGAATCGTCCTATGAAGTACGACACACGAAGGATTAGTTGTAACGTGGTTGAAAGGACGCGCTTTAGTTTGTATAAGAGCCCTCACTCGGTCTAAAGCCTATGACATATCTATGAAAGTTTCCATATAGTATTATGCCCAAAGGATGAGGAAATGTGGTCTACAACGCGACGTCCTGCTGGCTTGTGGAGTATTGAGAGCAAAAACCAAATTGGTGGCATGAGAGTAGGTTGATTATATTATTTGAGTTTTCGAAAGATACACAAGGCACATGGCTGGAACATGGCCAGCGCATTGCAATCCGCTCAGATGATCTAATCGCTATCGATATAGATTATGAAAGCTTGAACGTTATAAAAAGGTCATTTTAATCCTCATACTCAATTTGATCACTCAGAAATCAACTACCACCATTAAATTATTATTACTCCGTTTTATATAGACGATAAAAACAAATACAGTAAACCGAAGAAGGCAGTTAAGAAGGTTCAGGCTATCAAAAACGATATCGTTTATAGGAGAATTAAACTCCGTTCAGCTTTATATCTAAGGTATTTTTACCGGCCAAAACGATTTTCCCAAATAATTATTTATCATAACACTACATAAATAATCTTTAACCAAAAGATGCTTTTTGGCAAAATATTATTAAATACATTCAATTTAGTAGAATGTGCACATACTCTTTATTTTGTTTTTATTTTTATAATTATGAATACATACTCTTTATTTTGTTTTTATTTTTATAATTATGAATTTTACCACTGCGATTTTTAGCCATACCGTGAGTGATAATGGACACAATAAAGATACCACCTTTCCCTTCAGAAATTTGGTCTTTGCTTGGATGAAATATTAATCTGGAGGGACAAGATCCGGATTAAAGTATCGGTGTTGTAGAAACACGATCACATACGTGTCTTTTTTTTCAAATGTTCGTAAATTTGCTACCTGACATTGTCTTGTTGATACAAAAACTAAATTTCAAATCATCCAATAAGATATCGAAAACCATACCATCGTTCTGAATAGATCAAATATGGTAAATATAACTCCTTCAAAGTTCATAAAGAGAGATGTTTAAACCACTCGCTGCAATGTTGCTCATACTCAATTAATTAAGGTTTTTAGTTGAGATAAAAAGGTCAGTGTCACGAGAGGGATTTGAACCTACGACCTTCGGCTTGATACGCCGCTACTCTACCAGTTGAGCTATGGAAACTTCGATCCCCTCGGGCACCATCTTCCCATCTCAACCCCACCTTTTGAATTTTCCCTCCTTTTTGCCATTTTTAAAATTTCAAAAGGTGGGGTTGTGATGGGTAGTTAGTGTCCGAGTGGATCGTGGTCACGATAGCTCAAGTGGTAGAGCAGCGGCGTATCTAGCCGAAGATCTTGGGTTCGAATCTCGAATAATTGGTCAAGCAGACCACGAAAACTAGTGAAGTTGTTCACACTGTTTATACACTGCGGATAAATAACCTTTGACCGTTTTTCAACTCACCTCGTTAGAAAACCGGATCCTTTTGTTATAATCTACGCCATGCAGTTCCGGATCACACTTGAGGAACACACTTATTACAACCTCTCTGTTTTCCCTATTCAAATTCCCTTGTGTATGAAACGACTCGTGCTGGACACTTGACGAGTGCTATCGTAAGAACGGTCTCAACAGGGTGTCATTGTGCCTTGCTGTTGACAGCGAATGGTTGTCCTATACCTTGCCCTTTTCTAAGGATGACTCGACACTTTCAAATATTTCAAACCACCTTCGCACTGATTGCTTATTGATCCTCTTCTAACATGTACGAACCGAACGCGTGGTTTCCTAAGCTGTAAATTATAATTTCGCAACTCCACCTTCATATTTTACCTAAAGTTCGTTTTCGTTAAAAAAAAATGTCAAAATTTTGAGCGTTAAATCGTTAAATCAGAAATGGCTTAATTTATG